TGTTCTGGCCCTGATTATGCATTTGATAAGTCATCCATCGTCTCCATCATCATCAAATTCCTTCGGCCTCGAGAACATGATGAGGTCAAATAAAGACATTTTAGTATTGATGGGTTTTTATGCTTCTTTTTAAAAGATAGGTTATGTAGGTAGGTAAGAATAGTTTTTTACGTTTTTTTTTACCTTAAGTATGTCTGCAATTTTGTTACAATTCAATACGAAAAGTGCTGATAACAACTTTAGGGTAGGCATTTTTAGTCAAACATAAATAGGGTAGTTAGGGAAACCTTATATACAAGTACTAAAACATGTTTATTTTATATCAACCCCGTCTCATTTTTGCGCCTATCCCAAAGTCAGGAACGTCTAGACTAAAATCAGCAAAGACCCATCGAAACAACATCTGATTCAAAAATTTAATAACACTTTTAGATATTTAGATGATATATTGGCTCTCAATAATGACGACTTCAGTATGTACACTTAAGAGATTTATCCTGCCGAACTGACTTTAAATAAAGCTAATACTAACAATGAACACTGCCCTTTCCTGGATCTTGATATCTTTATCTTTAACGGGAAGCTTAATACCAAAATTTATGATAAAAGAGATGATTTTTCATTTCCTATTGTTAATTATCCATTTTTAGATGGTGACGTTCCCTTGTCGCCATCTTATGGTGTTTATATATCTCAACTTGCTCGATTCGCTCGTGTATGTAACACCGTATTTGATTTCAACGAAAGAAATCTCTGTATTACTGAAAAATTATTACACCAGGGTTTTCGATATCACAAACTAGTCAAAACATTTACAAATTTCATCATCGGTACAAGGACATCATTCGTAAATATAAATCAACATGCAGACATCTTATACGTTCAGGTATTTCACATCCAATATTTTATGGTAATATTCTTTACAAAGCACAAAAATGTCGGCATTCACCTCAAAAGCTAACCAAACCTTTAAACAGACTTATTCGGAAAGGATATAGTTACGATACTGTTGTCAAGTCATTAAGGATTGCATATTTTGGTAATAATATTGATTCACTCATAGGGTCTTTGCATCGGAAATAAACACATTTATTCTAAAACCAGTTGTTGGCATGATACGGGTTATGTTCTTCTCATATATTTAATGATGGTTTGATACTAAACCCCTAACGGGAGGGATTGTACTTGATTTTCATATGATGTAGACATAATCTTTCAATTCATTTAATTGAGGTCTGGAGCTGGCATGTCGGACTCGGACTTCTTTTAAACTGAGTTTTACTGTGCGTATTGCTATGTGTTTCTTTATCATACATTGGCTAGAGGTATAGGGGGAGGGTTGAGATCTCACAGAACATGTTAAACCCCGCCGCATTTTTGCGCCTGTCCCAAGTCAGGAGCCTCTGGCCTTTGTTAGTCTAGTATGTTTTTTTTAATTATAGTTCATTTATATGTTTTGGAGTTTAGTGTGACGTCCATTTTCACTGAACTAGCACACAATTTTATTTAGGGGCCAGCTGAAGACCACCTCCAGGTGCGGGATTTTCTCGCTGCATTGAAGACCCATTGGTGGCCTTAGGCTGTTGTCTGCTCTTTGGTCGGGTTGTTGTCTCTTTGACATATTCCCCATTTCCATTCTCAATTTTGTTAGTGTTTTTTTTCAATTTTGGTTCATTTGCATGTTTCGGAGTTAAGTGTGACCTCCATTATGCTGAACTAGTACACATTATGTTTAGGGGCCAGCTAAAGCCCGCCTCCGAGTCCGGGATTTTCTCGCTACATTGAAGATCTATGGGTGGTCTTGGGCTGTTTTCTGCTCTTTGGTCGGGTTGTTGTCTCTTTGACACATTCCCCGTTACCATTAACTATTCTACTAAATTTGAATTTTAATAAATTTTTGTCGAACCTGCGACTTTTGTCGCAGAAAGCTCGACATAGGGATAGTGATCCGGCGGCGGCGTTAACTAACTTCCTTAAAGCTTAATATTTCAGGAGGTAGAAGACCTTGATGCTTCATACTTTGTATATAGATGCCTTATGATATGAATTCTGTCATATGTCCATTGTCTTTGACCTCATTTTCATGGTTCGGTGACTACTTGAAAAAAAAGTTAACATTTTTTGTAATGTTAATTTCTCTCTTATTATGAGTAATAGGATAACTATATTTGGTATGTGAGTACCTTGCAAGGTCCTCATGTCTGTCAGACAGTTTTCACTTGACCTCGACCTCATTTTATGGATCAATGACCATGGTTAAGTTTTCGTGGTCAAGTCCATATCTCAGATACTATAAACAATAGGTCTATATTTGATTTATGTAATGATTGTAAGGTGTACATGTCCAACTGCAGGTGTCATCTGACATTGACCTCATTTTCATGGTTCAGTGGTAATAGTTTAGTTTTTGTGTTTTGTTCTGTTTTTCTAATACTGTATGCAATAGGTCAACTATATTTGGTGTTTCGAAATATTTTACGATGTACATGTCAGTCTGGCAGGTTTTATTTGACATTGACTTCATTTTCACGATTCATTGCTCAATGTTGAGTTTTTGTGTTTTTGGTCTGTTTTTCTAATACTGTATGCAGTAGGTCAACTATATTTGGTGTATGGAAATATTTTACGATGTACATGTCAGTCAGGCAGGTTTTATTTGACCTTGACCTCATTTTCACAGTTCGTTGCTCAATGTTAAGTTTTTGTGTTTTGGTCTGTTTTTCTAGTATTGTATGCAGTAGGTCAACTATATTTGGTGTATGGAAATATTTAAGATGTACATGTCAGTCTGGCAGGTTTTATTTGACCTTGACCTCATTTTCATGGTTCATTGCTTATGTTAAGTTTTTGTGTTTTGGTCTGTTTTTCCTAAAATTTAAGCAATAGGTATATTTGGTGTATGGAATGATTGTAAGGTGTATATGTCTGTCTGGCAGGTATCATCTGACCTTCACCTCATTTTCATGGTTCATTGGTCAATGTAGAGTTTTCCTGGTTAACTTTGTTTCTTAGATACTATAAGCAATAGGTCAACTATATTTGATAGATGGAATGATTTTAAGGTGTAAATGTCTGTCTGGCAGGGTTCATCTGACCTTGACTTCATTTTCATGGTTCATTGATCAATATAGAATTTCCACGGTTTGGTCTGTTTCTTTTATACTATAAGCAATATGTCATCTATATTCTGTGTATGGAATGATTGTATCAAAGGTGTACATGTATTTCCGCCTTGGTTTATCTGACCTTGACCTCATTTTCTTGGATCATAAATGTTAATGTGATACTTGTAGTAAAACTTTATATGTAGGACTATCAACATAAAATCAATGGTCAGTATAGTATGCGAGACATTTCAGCGTGTGCACTCTTGTTTTTATCTTGGTCTGATAGTTATTCCAGATACAGATGCCTTGCGACTATATATATATTAATAGTCTTGGTTCCAACTAAAACGTCTTCTAATACATATATGAAATTCTCGTACTAATTTATAAAATCATTTCTTTTAAAGAGTACATCGAATGATGTCTGTTTGCTAAAACTTCATTTTGGGATAAATATTTCATGCATATTCAGGACCAGATTTCAACAATTAATCCTATAGCGTAGATTCTGTATGGCTGATTGACTGAGTTGACAGGCGGACTACAGAACAAAAAGAGTGTTTTTTAATGTGACAGCAGTTTTTTCTAGCAAGAAGTATTCCTTATACCTAAAGACATGCACAGGGAAATTTCACTCACATGAATTTCACGTGAATTTAAATTCACGTGAATATCACGTGAAATTCACGTGAATTGAATTTCACCTCAAACGAGCTTATACGTGAAACTCCAACGAAATCAGTTCATGTGAGTTTCACTTGAATCTCATGATTTTTTTTCACGTGAAATTTAGGTGATTTTGAAAAATGACGTTATTCAAATAACATCTAAATTTTTAAATTTAATTAAAATCATAAAAAATACAAAAAAATTGAAGGTTCACGTGAAATTCATGTGAAAATGTTCACGTGAGGTTCATGTATAAACTCGTTTGAGGTGAATCTCACGTGAAATTTTTGACGTGAATTTCATGTGAGATTCTTGTGAAATTCACGTGAGCAAAATTTGCCTGTGTAATCGAAGGTTCTTAATGTGTAAAGACATTTATTCAAAAAGGGGTTTCATGTTCTCATTCGAACTTCCGAGTCTGGTGTTTATTTATTTGAAAAACTCAAAGGTACTTGACGGATGGACCCCCTGTTTATTTTGGCGTTTAGCATTTTTGATAACTAGATTGTGTTTCATGTTAATATAACCGATATACCCTTATTTTATGTGGTTTTGCTCTTATAAATACAGTCTTACAATAACTGTAGTTTATGCTTGCCGCCCTTTTACCGTTATTTTCAAAACTACAGGGGCAGCACGTATAAATTAGTTTTTGCATGATTGTAGGATAACAAAAACATTCTGCCCTACTATCGTATCGAAGCTTAAGGAACATATACTAGCATGTATCTGTTTTTCTATCTTATTTGTTTGTTTTTTATTTTTATTTTTGTTAGATTTTTGTTTTTTTTTAACCCGGCTTTCTAAACGTTCGTTCTTTTATATCCACAACTGCCTCTGAACCGCTTGACAAAATGTTTTGAAACTTTCACATGACATTCTTTTACAGCTAATGTTTCATTTCTTCATCCAAATTATTTACTTCAGGATGTCATGGACTTCGTTATATCTGCACACTAAAGCACAAAGTATCCGCTTCTCCTAAACCTTTAATCATATTTAAATTACAGAATTAAACTTTTCACCGGGTTTGTACGTTTGAGCAACACGACGGGTGCCACATGTGGAGCAGGATCTGCTAACCCTTCCGGATCACTGAACCCCCCCCCCCCCCGCCAATTTAATGGGGTTCGTGTTGCTTAGTCGTTAGTGTTCTATAATGTGTTTTGTATACTGTTGTATGTCTTTTGGTCTTTATTTGACATGTGCCACACTCACGAGAAATAAATCAAATCAAAATTTATTAAGACTGTTAAAATCATTGAATTAGAAATAAAAAATTACGAAAATGATAGATGGCAAACGACTTAAATATTGCACAAAAACAATTTTTCTTAAGATATAAAAAGCAATAAATGTGATAGTTCACAGGAATTTTACATTGAACAGAAACATGAGAAATGCATGTTCGCATTCGTTTGCAACTAACAGCTGGTTATTTTTCGGTCATAATGTAAAACATGAGGCAGATCAAGTCCATTAGCAGACGATAATAATGCTTTTCTTCTTTTTCCAGCCGGCTAGATGACGACAATATTTGACAATTAGTTTCCGACTACGTAAACGTTGCAAATGAGTTACCGAGAGGAAAAGGTAAAATACTTTCATCTTCATCTTTAATTCTTTGATTCGAACGTCACTGATGAATCTTTTGTAGACGATAGTAGTGATAGCAAATAAACTTCCTTCCCTCTCTCCGTTCTACATAAAATGTTTCATGGTCGGATTTAACATATTTTTGGTTTTGATCCGCCATTTTTTAGAACAATCTTCATGTCTTCACAAAAAAAAATTCTACCATCTAAACGCAGGACCGGAACACCCAGTTATGTTTCTGCCTCTCGTAGTATCAGTCTTCTTTGATTTATGTTCTAGATTGCCGACCGTGATTTGAGCTTGTTTGTTTTTTCTGCTTCCAATAAATATGCCACTTGTTTTGGAATCGACAACAATTTTCCCAAATGTTGAGGTACTGGTCTGAAAATTCTGCACACCAGAGCTAATCTTCCAAGACAGAGTAGCATGATTTAAATTTTTGTTCTCAACTACTGTTTGAATCAATTTATCCTTTCCGTCTACCTCATGTTCTATTTGTTTAAGGTACAAGAATGCCTGAAGATCTGATGCATGTTGTTTTATGTTCGCTATGTTATTTTGGTATTCCATTACGTCTTTTTCCGTTTGTTGTACTAATGTTAACAATTTCCGTATTTGTTTGCTCTCCGATTCCTCTATTTCGCTCAGTTCTTTTAATATGTCTTCTTGGAGTATGTCAAGAAAGTTCACGATCTTTAGTTTTGTCATTTTTATTTGAGACTCGATATCTTCTCTTGTTTCCTTGATTGCTTTCAAATTTTCTTCACGATCTTTTTGAATTCTTTTAATATTTTCCAAAATTTCTGCCAAGGTGTGTTCGATGTCCACGAACGCATTTGAAGATTTTACATCTTTGACGACATCATCAATATCAACAAATTCTTTACACTTGTTGTGAGTCTCCACAATGCACTTTTTACAGCATGGACTCTCATGCTTATTACAGTATATTTGGAACTTTTCGTTGTGGCTTTTGCATGTTTGTGTTATTTCTAGAATTGTCGATGATAGTTTCTTGTATTCATCGATAGAAACTGTAGTATGCCCCCTAGTTGCCTTGGAGATGGTGTGATGTTCAGTACACTCCTGACATAGACCTTCATCACATTCGGAACACCAAATTACTGATGATTTAGTTATCTGACGAAAATCACATATACCACATACAGTCCAATTGTTCGCCATTATCCTAAAGCTTCAATAAATATCTAACATTATATTAATTGTACATGATTTAAGTTATATCAACACACAGTGTAAAATACTATTGAAAAATCGTTATATGTTAATTTTATGCGACTGTCATACAAGTGAGAGGTTTGGCTAGCTATAAAACCAGGTTTAATCCACTATTTTCCACATAAGGAAATGCCTGTACCAAGTCAGGAATATGACCGTTGTTTTCCATCCGTTTGATGTGTTTGAGCTTTTGATTTTGACATTTGATAAGGGTCTTTCCGTTTTGAATTTTCCTTGGAGTTCGGTATTTGTGTTATTTTACTTTCTATATAAGTGCCTTGACGTTGGGTTGGATACTTTTTGGTCCGTTCTTAGTTTTAACGAGTGTTTATTGTTTAGTAGCAATCCATTTGTTTTATTCTCAACTCCGTGCACGTCCATCAATTTTTTTATTCCTACTTTGTTATATATTATTTCGACTTGAACATTGTGTTATTTTCTGTTTTTTTGTATTTTTTGTTTTGTTTTGTCTTTAAGGTATATTTCTTGTGTACTGAGTGGCGATGAGTCAAACCTTTTCCAGAAATTTTTTATAGCTTGTTCTTATGTTACACCACTGTTATATGTACATGACACTTTACATATGTTGAGCACTCACAAACAAGTTAATACTTCCACATTCTTTATTTACCAGTTTCTAGTCAGGAGTCTGTAACTCAGTGGCTGTCGTTGAGTGCAGTATGTCTCTCTTTCTTTTAAATTGTTTCAAATAAAAAGTCATGACCTTTTATAGCTAACTATACGATATAGATTTTTGCTGATGGTTAAATGCCGTGCAGTGCGATATAGTGTTTTTCATTCTCACTCTTTTTTCTTTGGTAAATAGTTGTCTTATTTGCAATGTCCCCATGTTTGTATAGATCCGATGATAGAAAATTGGCAAAAAAAAATCAGCATCAGTGACACATGCTTATCGCAGATATCTGTAATCAAATAATAACATTTAAATTGTATTTCTAAACGCGTTATTTATGAAAAAGTTACTCATGCCAAAGATGACATGAATTCAGTTTACACAGGAGTAAGTGCCAGTTTACCCTGCACTCCAAAGACAATTCAAAAAGGGGAAATTCATAAAAAATGACAAAATGAAACGTTAACTTTATCAACCAACGGAACGAATGGAAAACAATGAGTTGGTGTAGGCATTTTCCGAAGAAAATGGTATTTTAAACCTGGTTTAATAGCTAGTTAAACCTTCCACTTTTATAAAATTTGTTTATAGTTCCGTTTTATTGACAACATTGGGTGATCAACCCAAACAAACATAATAGGCTAATGTGACAATAATTTGCATCGAGCAGCCAAAACTGTGTAATTATACGTCACAGACATACAAACAACTGACTTAAAGATTCAAACAAACTTACAAATAAATCTAACAAAGACGCCAATGAAAAATTATTGTAGTTAATAGTAAATTTGACAAAGATGCCAATAAAAAGATTTTTGTTGATGATAGTATGTAGAGTATATAGTTAACACTTTCTAAATAAACTACAAATTATGTGAAATATAATTAAGGGTAGCAAAATAAAAACACATGTAAAAACCTCTTGCGGTCGAATCGCACATCTGGATTCACACCAGGAACGCTCAAAGCCAAGAACCCAAAGCTGGATGCATAAATACCAAGTCAGGTCAAGAGTCAAACGACCAAGAGGATCGTGATAGCAAAAAGAAAAATAAAGGATACAGTTCAACTGTAAGCTCAACAAACTGAGTCAATTTAAGGCATATTGCTAATGATGATTCAATAAAAAGAAATGCCGTATTCTTCGCTCACAATATTCTGATATTAAAAACTTTTTCGTTAAAAATGCAGTTTGGCTTTTTTTTGTATTAGAAGGATTACTTACCACAATATAATGACCGTGAAAAAGTATACAGTTATAATCTGAATTGGTTTGTGTGTGATATTCAAACATTCAGTTTTAAACATATACATCAGGAAGGAAAAATGCAATTTGGAATGAAGTGTATTCCCGTTATATACGCATTCATAATTATTGAAAAAAAGTCATACACTTATTCATAGAAAATTGAATAAAAAATCAAAAGTATTGATCGTTATCTAAATTAAAAATAAGGTAAATGACTGATTAGTTATAACATGTATAATATAACATCATGTATAAAAGGTTACACGTTTATGAGGCGTTGGCCTATATATGCTTACGTTGCACCCCGTTAACCCCCCTCCCCAGGATCCATGATTAAACAAAGTTTTTTTAGGTCGTAAATATATATGTTTTTACATTATAAATATTTACAAGCGAAATATTGGGATCAACTGGAGATATCTTGAGGGCTACTTTGTTGTTTAACTTAATTCCTATCTTTCGAAGCTTTAAACTCCAAAAAGGAGCCAAGAGACTTCTTCTGACATAAACAGATAGCTGAAAGTCTCGATTGAACGCTCAATATTGATAGCTTTTCTATAGAAACAATGGGCAAAGATCTATGATATTTGAGCAATAAACATCACAAACAATAAAACTAAGCCATTATTAGGTCTAATTGTGTTGTTTTTATGTCAGATTTACATATTTAAATCATCTAAGTGTTTCCAAGATAATTTTGGGAAGCACTGTCGTCGAGAAATAGGAAATTTTCGGATTTTGAGATATTTACGTTATGCTTAAAATTTGTCAAAACATTTGTTCTGTCTTTTATAAATTATGTTTATGTGAGGAAATAAATTTTACTTTATTTTTGTTAAAACGGGCAATTCATAATTTTCTAATATTTTACAGTAAAGCAAATGTTAAATGAAAGTTGTAAAGAATTGATTAAATTCATTGGTAAATGCAATTCATAAAGTTTGTTAATTCATAACGGTTATTTAGATTTATCATAGTAAATGTCAATAACCTTTTAACCCCTAAGCTAATGTAAACATTTTACAAGTTCGTTATGTAACTTTTATTCGGTCATATCAAATACACACATCATTTAATTGATAGATGGATTGATCTTTACCCAGTCAAACCTATCGTAATTCTTTATGATAAATTAAATCAATTAATTATATAATTTCTGTTTACAACATGACCCCAACAAACTGTGTAGTTATAGCAACTTTATTTGGTATTTAAATGAACAATATTTTAATGTTGAGGACTCGAGCACACGGACTACGTTTGGACTTTCCAACGTTTGTAGATTTATCGTTTTTGGTTTCAATATTATGATTGTTAAAACTGTACATGTTTAATAATTGGATTTTATTAAAGAATTTGGACTTAACCAATTCGTTAATATTAATTGTATTGGACTGCCGACTTGTATGTAAATAAAAAGCTAGTACCCCAGATTGTGAATCGTTCCCTTAGACGGGATCCCACTCAAAGCCATCTAGGAAGTTTTATCGAGAAACGTATAACAAAAAAAAAGACTTTCTCATATTTACACGAAATATTTTGTATTATAAAATAGGACAATGTACTAGTTTTCGATTGACTACTATACATAGATTTTTTTTCTATAGCACAATCACCATCGGTTTATATAGTAGTAATACTACTCCTACCGCTACACATTTTGGCAAAAACCTTTAATATTTGAACAATTAACATCAAAAATATTATTTTGTGTGATTTTTCTGTAGATATATACATGTACAATGCATCAAATAAATCATCTGCTTCACTATCACTTCTACATGTTCTATCACTTGCACATTAAAGAGAAGTACCAATTATCAGGTTGTTTGTATATTGATATTGTAAAATATCAGCTGCGAGTCGTAATATGAAGCTTTTTATCGAGTAAGCGCAGCGAACGAGTTAAAACAGGCTGCATATTGTGTCGAGCAGCGGATATTTTACAATATAAATATGCAGACAACCAGTTAATCGATTTATCGGGTTGTATTTACATATTTTTCATGATAGAAAACAAGTGTTGTCTTTGTTTCACCAGCCAACCGGAAGATGACTTGATACGTTCGGGTCAAACTTATCAACGTCGGTTCATTCATTATGACGTCGATGATATGTCCGGGTCAACGTATATGACGTAAAAAAGCCGTGATATGCAGTTTTGTTAAGAGCTGAACAGAGTGATACAGACAATGGGACAACCGATAATTCTTCATTGTGAAGATCACCAGGAGTTGCCAGTTGGTAAGTATTCTGAGCCTGTGAAGCGACTTAATTAAAAAACACATTTACTTCTACGAACAGTACAATGAATGTTAAGACTTTTGATAAAAATCTTGTAGAGTATAAGCATCAAAGTAACATTGCTTTTCAGTTCCTTATTAGATCTCAAAGTTCTGACCTACGGCTTGATTTAAAGAAACTCTTAACCTATCCAGTTCTAAATAGTCCTTATGGTCCTCTGAGTAAAACCGGTAAAAAGGTTTTCAAAGTGAACGAACAGCTACACGACGGGTGCCATATGTGGAGGAAGATCTGCATACCCTTCTAGAGCACACGATATCACCCCCAGTTGTTGCTCAGTCTTTAGTTTTCTATGTTGTGTTTTCTGTACAGTTGTATGTCTGTCTATTTGTCTTTTTCTTTTTTAACCATGGCGTTGTCAGTTTATTTTGGACTTGAGTTATGAGTTTGAATGTCCCTTTGGTATCTTTGCCTTTCTTTTATTAAGATGTAAGTTGATGTGTAGTCTGATGATTCCTTTTAAACCAAGCTGCAGTCAAAGAAGGTGTTCGCTGTACGCAACGAAGACACATACATGGTTGCTAGCACAGATGGCAAAACTATCACAAGAACACTAGTGGCTGAACTACGTTACTTTGTAGAGGAAACGGACAGTTGAGTTATACTTTTTTGCACGTACAGCCTTGAGCATTTGAGAATCCAAAGTCCAGACAGTGATATATTCTTTATATGTCTCTTCATTGCATTTGTTGGTACACAGCCTCAAGCATCACCAATACATATATTGTCGAAATGCGCATCTGGTGCAACACAATTGACACCGTTAATGTTATAACATTAATATTTGATACAGGCACTTCTAATTACACACAGTTGATGAATATAACAAGTCTAGCAGTCAAATTTGGTCGCCAGAACTGCAGCGCTCTATTGGGTCCACGTGCATGTGCAAGAAACTACAGCATAGGGGATTTGAAAGGCAAAATCAACATGATCAAGCATATCAAAATGATTTTAAAAAAACCCAATTTTTTCAGACTGCTATGTCAAAATTGGAAGATGCCTGGCGCGTTGTTAAATCAGTCATCTTGACCTACTGACTTTTACTTGTGCACTGTATGGCAAAGACATCGAAAAATGAAGTAAGACATGTCAATATACATGCCAGATGTGTAACAACACCAACGAACACATTTTGATATAAAGTGAAACTTTGACATCAGTATGCTTCTTTAATTTCAAAAGGCGCCGAAAGAGCACATATACAAGCTAATTAACATGAAGGTAATTGGAAAAGGAGTAAAACAATTTAGCTGTAAAGCATGTACAGATAAATACTATTGCGTCTGACTGGGTAGAGGAATTAGATTGACCACTAGTCCATGCTTTATGATCCAATAAATGGTCAACACCCTATTATTCATTACCCCAATAAATGGTCAACACCCCATAATTCATTACCCCAATAAACGGCAACCATTTGATGGTGACCAAACCAGATGGTGGAAATTTATCAGAATAAGTCACAGGTTGTACTGTACTCGAAATTTTCGTTATATATGAGAACAAAGTGGGAAATTTAGATGAGACGATAGTCATCCCTTATATCAACAGGTCACCTTCCGACTAAAAGCCTTTATGTAAGATTCTTACGGTGACACACTATGTCATTCATCAAACCATTGATTTGAGATTTCTGAAGACTCTCTTTTCATATTGATGTGGCTGCAGTTTATTTAATGTAACCCACATGTTGCCCCAAATGCTAATGAATCAACCGACAGGTAAATAATATTACCATCACACCACTTCCCCCTTCATTATATATTGGACGCAGTCATTGTGTTTATGTATACTAGGTAAATATAGGAATGGTAAGCACATTGTTCATTTCTCCTTTGTGTACGTCTGTTATACAGTATTGTGCTAATTCGAATAATTTAGCAACTGGGTTGGACAGACGGGTTAATGACAAGTTGTATCTCCGTTTGCAAAGACTTTTATGTAGTGCACACACAAAAAAACAAAGGGACATTATGACGGACTTTTAAAGTTGCACTTCTATTATCAGTGAATTGCGAAATTTTAATAAAAACTCTAATTGTCATATAATTTTAATTAACATGTGTACTAGGTTTGAACTGCATGTCACCACAAATTCATAGTCAAGTTAAGTACACGTACCTTTATCTAAAGCTTTACACGAGATCGCACGGACAGATCAGAAAATCGGCATTATTCCTTACCTATCGTATAGTTAGTGACCTACACAATGAAAGCTATATGTATTTTCATTTTTGTTTGAATTTATCATATCCGTTTTTTTTTTTCTTTTACTCTACGCTTTCTTAAACCGATTATTTAGTGGTTGTGTGTCTGTCTGTCTCTTATCTCGTTCCTTCGTTCGTCCTTCAGTCCAACTGTTGTTATCTTCAACTGCTCCTGAACCGCTTTTCAGAATTTGGTGAAAATTTCACAGAAATTACTCACATGGCGTACTTCTGTCCAATTTTATTTCTTTATATGAAGAATTATTTGGGTTTAACATTGGGATGGCATTTCTGCACGCTATATAGTAGAAATTTAAATCCGCTTCTCCTAAACACCGAATCATAATCATCTTAGAAATTTTACTGTATTGACAACATAATAGCAACACAGTTAAATGATTTACTGAAATGTGCAATTCAATCAAAACCAAGTCAAATAAAAATTCATCACGGTGACATCTGACATATTTTTTTTATAATCATTGAACTGGAAATTCAAAACTAGTAAAATTATAAAAGGCAAAATCTTTACTTATC